GCTACTTTTTCTTTATAGCTGCTGCATAGCATCTCCAAAAGCATCTCCTCCGCGAAAAAGAAATCGGGGTCTAGGCATGTCCGCACAATAGAAATGAACCCTGATATTAGTCTGTAGACTTTCAGGAGCTAACTGGAGTTTCTTTGTTTTTCTTTGTGAAGATGTTTTGCTTTTCAACCCAGAAGCTTCTTCAGCTCTGACTGGATGGTGGGGAATGGAATGGTTTATATTCCTTGCAGACACAGCTGGTCATTTGCATCCTTTTAGAGGGTCGTTGAGGCCGCTTGGAGGCTTATCTGTGTCCTCAGGGTCACCCGAGTAGTGCAAATGGTTCCTGTAGTCTGCAGTTTTCCCTCTGGGAATCCCTTCCTCCTCCCACACCATTCCAAGGGTGTCCGTCCCAAATTGTGTAGCTAAAAGTCGGTAGAGATTCCCAGTCATCCAGCTCCTGGTTGTCCCAAAGGTACTTTTTCTTGAGGCAACTGGACTTACTTTCTTTTTTCTGTTGAAAACGTTTCATTTCCCATCCAAGAAGCTTCTTCAGCTCCGGCAGGATAATGGAGAACGGAAAGATTTGCATTCCTTGGAGAAAACTGGTTCACTCTACAGGCTTTTAGCTACACAATTTGGGATGAAACACACACACACACACCCCGCCCCGAACGGTAAGGAATAGATTTCCAGAGGAAAAATTGCAAACTATAGGAACCATTTGCACTATTCAGGGGACCCTGAGGACATAAAGAAACCTCCAAGCGGCCTCAACGACCCTCTAAAAGGATGCAAATGACCAGCTGTGTCTGCAAGGAGTATCAATCCTTCCCTTCCCCACCCTCCAGTCAGAGCCGAAGAAGCTTTTTGGGTGAGAAGTGAGATGTCTTCCAAAGAAAAACAAACAAACCAGGAAGTCCAGTTGCCTGCTGAAAAAGCAAGTTTGGGTTGACTCCGAGATCTGTTTTCTTTTCAAAATGAAAATGCCAACCAGGAGAGGGCAGCCAGTCCCTTCTTATGGGAGGAGAGTCCAGCTGCACAGTTTCTCCATAGAAATCACCCTTTGGATTCTCCAGCAAAAGGATTCGGAGGGAAGAGATAAGAGGGCGATGAAAAACAACAAACCAACAAACCAACAAACAAACCACAACAACCACCCTCAACACTCTTTGGCAGGAAACGCGTCCAAATGTTCGGGAAAGTTGAAACAAGACCTTTGAATTGAAGTCACGCACATGATTTCCATCGGGAATCAACCCAGGTGTCGTGGATGAAACACCTCACAACATAGGAAGGAGATACCTACGAGGGAGGCACCCGGTGTGGCGTATTCACTCGATCGACTGAACCAGGCAAAGGTCCAAGATGAATAGTTCCATTTTAATTTTGGCTTATTTTAAATCCACCCACGGGACAGAAGTTGCCCTCGGAAGTTGCGGGAGCGCCATCGCTTGAGACTTTCAAGAAGAGGTTGGACTGCCATCTGCCAAAAATGGTGTAGGGTCTCTTGCTTGGGCGGAGGGGTTGGACTAGATGACCTACAAGGTCCCTTCCAACTCTGATGATCTGCTATCTGTGAAGTTTGACGTGAAACTGTTGGTGTTAGCTACCTTGTGACTTCCTTATATTATCCCCTGTGGAGAAAAAGCGCGATTGGTACTTGTTGTTGTTGGTACTCCTCCCACAACCACGTAAGGATGGGTATTGAGGTACCACAGTACTTCTTTCCAACACCTACATGAATCCGTCTTCCAGTACTTGAGGGGCTCCATCAGGGAAGAAGAGGAAGATTTACTTTCCCTGGTATCGGAGGGAGGATAAGAAACTCCTCGGAGGGAAACCTGACCTGGAATTAAGGAAGAATTTCCCGACAGTAAGAACTGACGCAAGAGAACACCTTGATTCCCAGGGTTGTAACCATATAAAGAGAATGAAAATTAGCGGCAAATCAAATGAAGACTTGGCTTTGCAGGAAATCAAATCAGGAGAGGCCACTAATCAAGGAAAATATTTGTATTTATTTGGTTGACATGAAGGGTCCTTGGTCTCTTTGAACTTGGTGGCTTTCTTCCTGACGTTTCATGACCCAGCTAGGTAATATCATTAGTGCTAGGATGGAGTGGGGTTTGTGGAGAGGAGAAGGGAGGAGGAGGAAAATGATGGTGGAGTCCCTAATTGTTTCTGGGCCTGCTTGTTTTCTTGCAGACGTTTCATGACCCAACTAGGTAACATCATCAACGCTAGAAGGAAGTGGAGTTTGAGGAGTGGAGTGGAGGAAAAGAGGGAGGAGGAGGAGGAGGAGGAGACGGAGGAGGAGGAGGAGAAAGAAGACTAAGGGATCCTTGATGCTGTCTGAGCTTGGTAGTTTTCTTGCAGATGTTTCATGACCCAACTAGGTAACATCATCAACGCTAGAAGGAAGTGGGGAAGAGAAGGATTTATATTCCTTGCAGACTGCTAGTCATTTGCACCCTTTTAGCAAGTTGTTAAGGTCACCTGGAGGTTTATCTGTGTCCTCAGGGTCACCTGAGTGGGGCAAATGGGTGTGGAGCCTCCTTGGAGCAGCTGAAGGGGCCGTGTTGTAGCTTGGAGTTAGATACAACACCGTCCTTTCAACAGTTCCAAGGAGGTCCCACCCCCATTTGCACCTCTCCAGGGGCCCCGAGGACTATAGACGAACCTCCAAGTGGCCTCAACGACCCCCCAAAAGGATGCAAAGGACCAGATGTGTCTGCAAGGAGCATCAATCCTTCCCTTCCCCACCATCCAGTCAGATCTGAAGAAGCTTCTCGGACGAGAAGCGAGACGTCTTCAAAGAAAAAAACCAGAAAGTCCAATTGCCTTCTTGGATGATAAAAAAAAATACCTTTGGGAATTTGGCTGAACCTTAACCAATCTTGCCTGGGCCCATCTCCCTCTGGATTTGTCAAGACTTAGCCGGAAGATGCCCTGGGTTTTCCTCCAGCTGCCTCTCTCAGCTTTGGGGGATTATGTCCAGCTCATGTGGACAATTTTCGGCCTAGCTGGCCCTGTGATTCATGACCATCTGTTCGCGCTCGCCAGCTGTGGATTTAGCTGGTTCACCACAGACGCTTTAATCCCTGCAAAGCACCGCCCGAAGCCCACGGGGCCAGTTGAGATCGGCCCACTCTGATCCTTTGCTCTTAAGGACGGTTTCATGGGCAGAACTAAGCAGGATTCAGAGGGAAAGAGAACGGGAAGGGGACCTTGGAGGTCTTCTAGTCCAACCCCCTGCCCAGGCAGGAAACCCTACACCACTTCAAACAAATGGTTGTCCGACCTCTTCTTAAAAACCTCCAGTGTTGGAGCATTCACAGCTTCAGGGTGCAAGCAGTTCCACTGGTTAATTGTTCTCCTCATCAGGAAATTTCTCCTTAGTTGTAGGTTGCTTCGCTCCTTGATTGGTTTCCATCCGTTGATTCTTGCTCTAACACATAACAGATCATCAGAGGTGGAAGGGACCTTGTAGGTCATCTAGTCCACCACCCCCGCCCAAGCAGGAGACCCTACACCATTTCTGACAGAGGGCAGTCCAGTCTCTTCTTGAAGGTCTCAAGTGATGAAGCTCCCACAACTTCTGAAGGCAACTTCTGTTCCAGGGGTGGATTGTTCTCACCCTCAGAAAAATTCTCCTTATGTCCAGTTTGAATTTCTCCTTGTTCAGTTTCCATCCATCATTCCTTGTCTGGCCTTCGGGTGCTTTGGAGAATAGCTTATAAAATAAAAATAAAATAAAAATAAAATGTGCAACGATCATTAAGTGTGAAAAATGGTCATGAGTCCTTTTTTCCCCCCGTGCCATCATACCTTCTAACGGTCATTAAATGAATGGTTGTAAGTCAAGAATTACCCGTTCTTTGCTGAAATCTATATCTATCTTCTCTCTATATCTATCTATCTATCTATCTATCTATCTATCTATCTATCTATCTAT